TGCTTGTGCATGGCGGGGGATGCTCGGGCACGGGGGTGGGATGCTCGGACATGGGGATTAGTCGGGCATGGGGGTGCTTGTGCGTGCAGGGGATGCTCGGTATGGAGGGGAATGCTGAGGCATGGAGTTGATGCTCAGGCATGGGGGGGTGCTCGGGCATAGTGGGTGCTTGTGCATGGGGGTTGCTCGGGCATGGGGGTGATGCTCGGGGATAGAGGATGTTTGGACACCGAATGCTTGGGGATGGAGGTGATGCTCAAATGTGAGGGGGATGCTGCGGCATGGGGGGTGATGCTTGGGTGTGTGTGGGATGCTTGGGCATGGTGGGAGAAAATGCTTGAGCACATGCATGGAGGAGGATTCTCATGCTGGGTGGAAGGGGTCGGTCATGCTCAGGAGGGGGTGCTTGGACCCATGGGAGTGAGGCTGATTGGGCTAGTGGGGTTGTTTATGCAGAGGGGGGATGCTCTGGGTGCCTGGCAAGTGCCCCCAAGGTGGGGGAAATGTGCATGGCTGAGAGGTTCCCATGGAGGGGGTGCAGGCATCTGCTGCCCTCTGCCCCCCTCCCCTGGCTGCTCACAGTTGAGGCTGGGCACAAGGCTCCGACACAGGTGCCACAGTGGTGTGACACCCAGCCCACACCATGCTCGACTCCTCACAGGGGCTTCAGCTATGTGGACCTGGTGGAGGGGCTGCGGGATGGGCACTTCTATGCTCTGAAGCGCATCCTGTGCCATGACAAGGAGGACCGCCAGGCTGCCCTGCACGAGGTGAAGATGCACGGCCTCTTCGACCACCCCAACATCCTGCCCCTGGTGGACCACTGCATGGTGGAGAAGGGTGCCAAGCATGAAGCGTGGCTCCTCCTGCCCTACGTGAAGGTGAGGGGGTCTCCCCTGGCCGCCCCCACCCCCTTGCCACCGGAAGTGGCAGTGGCAACCGGCTGCTTGCATTTGACAGGGGGGGACCCTCTGGAGCGAGGTGCAAGCACTGCGAGAGAAAGGGACCTTCATGCCAGAGCAGCGGATCCTCCACATCTTCCATGGCATCTGCCAGGGGCTGCAAGCCATGCACAGCAAGGGCTATGCGCACAGGTAGGGGGTTGGCAGCCCTGGCTGGGGGGGTTGGCAGGGGGCACAGCAGGTGTTCAGTGACGTCAATCCCCACAGGGACCTCAAGCCCACCAATGTGCTGCTGGATGAGGATGATCGGCCTGTGCTGATGGACCTGGGCTCCATGAACCAAGCTCGCATTGAAGTCAGCAGCTCTCGGCAGGCCATGGCTGTGCAGGTGGGTGCTCTGAGACATCACCCCACCAGCCCATCCCTGCCCTGAGCCCTTCATCCCCACCCTCACCCTCCTCTGTGCAGGACTGGGCTGCCCAGCGCTGCACTATCTCCTACCGTGCCCCCGAGCTCTTCACGGTGCCGAGCCAGTGTGTCATAGATGAGCGCACAGATATCTGGGTAAGGATCCGGCCCCTTGGCCCCTGTCCCAGCACCGTGGGGCTGCCCTGACCCCACTGCACTCCAGTCCCTAGGCTGCGTGCTGTACTGCATGATGTTTGGGGAGGGACCCTACGACGCCATCTTCCAGAAGGGCGACAGCGTGGCTCTGGCTGTGCAGAACCCCATCACCTTGCCCCCCACAACCAGGTGAGGGGCTGGGGAGGCGGACCCTGCTCCCAGGCAGCCCCGTGCTGCATGGCCGCCCTCCCTCGCCATCTTTCCTCCAGGTACTCGGAGGCCTTGCAGCGCCTGCTCTCCTCCATGATGATGGTGAACCCCCAGGAGCGACCCAGCATAAATGAGGTCCTCCACCAGCTGGAGGGGCTGCAGCCAGCGCCAGCGGGACAGGACACCACGCAGATCTGAGCCTGTGCCCTGAGGCTGAGCCAGGGGAAAAGCAGCTATTCTCGCCCCTGCCCCCCCTGCGGAGCCATTGCAGCGGGGATTGCTGCACTCCGGGGAGAGCTGCTGCTCTGTGCTGGAGGTGTGTTGGATTTGGAGTGGTCTGTGCCCTGGATGCTGCTGCCTGGGACTTGGTCTGTGCCCCAGAACTGTGGATGTGTGACCTGCTGCTAAACACGGGGCCCTTGGTGGCCGCTGCCTCCCCCGGGGTTGCAGAGGAAGATGCTGAAAGACCCCCCGGGTGACGGCAGCCACGGCCTCACAGCTCTGTGCCCCAGGAGGGTCACTCCTGACCAAGGGCAGAGCTGCAGTCCGGGTTCCGGTGCGGTGCTGGAGCAAGGCGGCGGGACCCAGAGCCTGCTCTGCTGCTGCTCTCAGCGCCAATGTTGCCTTGTGTTTGGAGTAAAAGATGTTCTTGCGGAGGTGTGGATAGTGTGTCCCTGTCTTTGGGGAGGGGTTCCTGCCAGGGGCACGGGGAGAGTGGGGCACACTCTCTGGGTTGAGCAGCCAAGCATTGCTGGAGAGGAAGGGCAGCAGAGGACAGTCCCAACAGGGCAGCACAACCAGAGCATTAGCAGTAAGCAGGGGAAGTTAATCCCTGGCCCCAGTGCACTCCTGAGTTCACACAACAGCAGCTAGGGCCAGGCACCGCTGTTCAGAGCCTCCGGGGCTGGGCGCTGCGGGAAGGGGCTCAGCACAAGCAGGCAGGTGGTGACAGGGGTACAGGCAGAGCTTCATGGGTGCCAGAGAGGGGGAGGTGGGTGCCTAGGCTGGGGAACTGCCAGAGTTTGGGAGGCAGGGGCAGCAGCCCTACTCCGGTGGGGGTGAGTGGAGCCTGGGGACAGCACAACCATCCCATTGCTGGGGACAGCCCCCAGCCCGGCAGGCACCCCGGAACAGAGGGGCTCACTGGGACACACAACAATTGGGCTGCCCGGGAAAGGGGGTTAAAAAAAGAGATACAGACAAGCAGTTTCACAGGGAGCATTCCCCTCCTTTAATCCTCTCACCACAACACAGCAGTAAAGCAGCTGCGGGGGCTCATGCTGCACTGGATACCCTCGCGGTGTGCACCCGCTGCACTGCAGAGCCAGGCATGGCCCTTGTCCCGCACTGTGGCCAGAGGGACAGGGGTGCCAGGCTGCTCCCACTGTTCCACCACTGTCCTTCCAGGTGAGCACACCTACCTTTGAGCTTCACATGGGGAGAAGTCCCCCCATCAGCTGCCAATCTTTTTCTGCTCAGGCTATATCGGCTCCCCTGAGCTCCAGGATTCAACACGGGGCCATATAGCGCGGCCATATAGCGCACAACAAAGCAGTACCCACCCCCAGCTGGAGCAGTGAGGGGGGATGGGATGTGTGCCACAGCCCCAGGGAGCGGCCCCAGGGGCTCATGCCTTGTGCGGGGGAGCAAGCTGGAGCTGGAGCAGAGCGCTAGGAGGAAGCATAGCAGCACCAGCAGCAGAGCTGAAGCACTCACCACACACCTGACCTGGCAAGAAACCAACACAGCTCGGGGGGGTAGTGGGAGACACAGAGGCTCTGAAATGGTTTATTGCAAAGGGTTTCTGCAGGTAACATGGGGAAGTAGCGCGGTCCTTTTTGGTAGGAGCTTCTCTACTCCTCGCCTTCCTCTTCATCCTCATAGGAGTCCAGGCCCACCTCCTCGTAATCCTTCTCCAGAGCGGCCATGTCTTCCCGCGCCTCGGAGAACTCCCCTTCCTCCATGCCCTCACCCACGTACCAGTGCACAAAGGCTCGCTTGGCGTACATCAGGTCGAACTTGTGGTCCAGGCGAGCCCAGGCCTCGGCGATGGCTGTGGTGTTGCTGAGCATGCAGACGGCGCGCTGCACCTTGGCCAGGTCCCCCCCCGGCACCACCGTGGGCGGCTGGTAGTTGATGCCCACCTTGAAGCCCGTGGGGCACCAGTCCACAAACTGGATGCTGCGCTTGGTCTTGATGGTGGCAATGGCGGCGTTGACATCCTTGGGCACCACATCCCCACGGTACAGCAGGCAACAGGCCATGTACTTGCCATGGCGAGGATCACACTTCACCATCTGGTTGGCTGGCTCAAAGCAGGAGTTGGTGATCTCGGCCACTGATAGCTGCTCGTGATAGGCCTTCTCTGCGGAGATGACAGGGGCGTAGGTGGCCAGGGGGAAATGGATGCGAGGGTAGGGAACGAGGTTGGTCTGGAACTCGGTCAGGTCAACATTCAGGGCCCCATCGAACCGTAGTGATGCTGTGATGGATGAGACAATCTGGCTGATGAGTCTGTTCAAGTTGGTGTAGGTTGGGCGCTCGATGTCCAGGTTCCTGCGGCAGATGTCATAGATGGCCTCGTTGTCCACCATAAAGGCACAGTCCGAGTGCTCCAGGGTGGTGTGGGTAGTGAGGATGGAGTTGTAGGGCTCCACCACAGCTGTGGAGACTTGTGGTGCAGGGTAGATGGAGAACTCCAGCTTGGACTTCTTGCCGTAGTCAACGGAGAGTCGCTCCATCAACAGGGAGGTGAATCCGGAGCCAGTGCCACCTCCAAAGCTGTGAAACACGAGGAATCCCTGGAGGCCCGTGCACTGGTCAGCCTGTGGAAAGAGGCACATGAGACATTGCTCTGAGATGGATTTCTTTGTGTCTGACCATTCAGAAGTCCTTCAGGGCCTGGTCCATGCCTGCCATGAGCAGCTGCAGATCCCTCCCAGGGCACAGCAGGGATTGCAGTGTGCTCTGAGCCCCAGCAGGATGCTGGAGCCCAGCCCAGGGGTACACGTCCTCCCTCTGTGGTCACCTACCAGCTTCCGGATCCTGTCCAGTACTTGGTCAATGATCTCTTTGCCGATGGTGTAGTGCCCGCGGGCATAGTTGTTGGCAGCATCCTCCTTGCCGGTGATCAGCTGCTCAGGGTGGAATAGTTGACGGTAGATTCCAGCCCGAACTTCATCTAGGAGAGATCAGGGGAGAGTTGATCCTGTGGAAGCTGTTGGTTTGAGCTGGCCACCAAGCAGGTGCCAGCACTCATCCCTCATCCTGGCTCTGCCTGCCAGGGGCATGGCCAAGGACCCACACGTCAGCCGGGCTACCACGGGCATCAGGTTTCTCTGGCAGAGGGAGGTGGCTGCCACTTCCCTGCACAGGAGTTCAGCTTCTCCCACCCATCCGGAGCTGCCTGCCCACAGTGTGCACGGTACTGCAGGAGCTGCCGTGCCGGTTGGGCTGGTTTCTCTCCATGCACATTCGGTAGCAGAGATTACCAGCACCGCTACCTCTACAACACTTCAGGAACAAGAACTGGTGCTCTGGTTTGTGGCTTCTCTTGGGGAAAGAAGTGCCTTCGGGTTGAGCCTGGGGCAGGGTGCTGCCAGCAGACCATGAGCACCAGCCCCTTGCTACCTACCCAGGGGTGCACCCCAGGCTGTGCAAACTCCAGCACTCACCGATCACGGTGGGTTCCAGGTCCACAAAGATGGCCCGCGGGACGTGCTTCCCAGCCCCGGTCTCACAGAAGAAGGTGGTGAAGGAGTCATCCCCTCCTCCGATGGTTTTGTCGCTGGGCATCTGCCCGTCGGGCTGGATGCCGTGCTCCAGGCAGTACAGCTCCCAGCAGGTGTTGCCCATCTGGACGCCGGCCTGGCCGACGTGAACGGAGATGCACTCGCGCTGGGGAGCAGGGGGAGGCAGGGTCAGACCCAGACAGCCGTGTCCTGCTCACCCCAGGGAGGGGTCTGCCTGCTGCCAGTATCCCATGGCCACCAGCACGGGATCTGCCCTGTCCAGCAGCCCCAGGGAGCACATTTTCCTTTAGGTGACCTCCCACATGCCCCTAAGGGACCCCACATGGCTGTCATTGCCCTCAGCCATGCACAGGCACAATGCTGGATCCGGAGCCAGCCCTGGCATCCCCCCTGTTCAGCCTGTGTTGGGAGCCACCAGCCCCACGGACTCAGGCCAGGGCTGCCCTCCAGCAGTGCGAGGAGCAGAGCCCGGCCCAGCCGCCCTGCCCCAGCCGCCCCTCCAGGCTCCCCAGCAGCCTCAGCACCTTCCCCAGGTGTGGCAGCCCAGCAAGATGCTGAGCTGAGCAGGCACATCCTTAACCCATGAGGTGCACATGGGGAACCTGCTGCTCCAGAGCCAGGGTAGCATTCAGCGTCCTGGGTCAAGGGGCCTTGGGGATGCGGGGGCAGTGAGGGGCGGGGAGCGGGGGCTGTCTGTGAAGCCCAGCAGCCTGTGAGGCAGCACAGAGACTCCCCAAGCTACGCAGTCCCAACCCGTGCTGCAAAACCCGGGTGGGCAGAAGTGCCGAGGAGCAGGCTGCGAGCTGTGGATGTGCCTCCTGCGCTCCCATCCTGCAGGTGCAGGCCCGCTCCGCTGCCCCCGGCATCCCTCCGCCGCTGCCCCCAGCACCCTCGCTCCTCTCGTCCCGGCAGGACACCGCAACTCGCCCGGGAGGTCCCCGCGCTCCTCTCTCCTGCATTCCCAAGCCGCGCAGCGCTCTCAGCAGCGATGGGTCCCGGGCCCCGGTCCAGCGCCGGGGCAGGATCGGGACTCCTGCCTCCTCCGGGAGGAAAGGCAGCCCGGGGCAGGGTCCCCGGCAGAGCCCGGGCAGTGCTGCGGCGGGAGGGGCGCTGCGCCGCGCCTCCTGGCACGGCCCCGGCCCCCTCCCGAACCGCTAAATATAGCCCCGGCCCCAGG